CCCTACCCGAAGAATCGGAGGTCTTAGGCTTCTTAGCCTGAGCCCCTGCTGCCTGTACCTGCTCAGTCTTCCGCTTCGTGCGGGACTCCAACTCCATCTCCCTCTCACGGGCCTTCTCCACCATCTCATTCAGGGTTTTGCACCCTGTAAAGCTCACAAACTCCAGAATATCATCCCTCAGCATGGAATGATATCTCGTCCGCCTCATATCCTCATCCGTAGCGTACTTTGGGATCAACAACGCTCGCTCCCGAAACTTGGCGGTGATCTCCACCACGGTCTCGGTGGTCTGCTGAAGGTCATGAAACTCCCTCACAAGTCGTTGCACCTCGATAGGTGGTGCAAACTCCAAATCAAATCGCCGAACAAACTCAGCCCACGCCATCTCAGCCACTCCGGCTGGCCCCACCTGGCTAGTAACCTCACCCCACCAATCTCGGGCCCTGTCCCTCAGCATACAGGAGGCAAATCCAACCTTTGCCTCCTCCAGGCAAGAACTTGTGCGCTGGGCATTCTCAATGTCCGCTACCCAGCGTCTGCTCACAATGGGATCCCTGACCCCCGAGAACTCTGGAGCTCCACATGCCTTGAACTCCCGAAACGAGGGAGTTTTGGCTCCACCCTGACCCGTAGAAACATCAGCCCTGAATGCCCTAAGCCTCTCTTCCATGATCTCCATCATGCCCTCCTTGATCGTCCCAAAGATGACTGGGGTAGCGTCAAGGATGCCCTTCGTAACCTCGTCCGCAATCAACTCACGCAGCCTCTCGTCAATACCATCAGTAGGGCCGCCTGACCCAGCCCCGGACCCAGATCCCGATCCTGATCCCCCTGCTCCAAACCGCGTCATCACCATGCTGAACTGAAATATCAAAACATAATGATCAGGATATCTATAACGAAGGTTCTTTCATACTGGTTTCCTTTTAAAACCAAAGCCAATCCCCTAAACCATAAAATCCCAAAACATTTATTTTCAAATCAACATTCATTACTTCATTGTTTTCCTTTTTAAAACATCAGAGGGTCCCAAACACATCAAAAGAGAGATAGAGTGCACGCCACGTCATCACGCCTTGCCCTTGCCCTTAGGCTCAGAAGTACCTGAAACAAATCAACAACCTGTAAGCGAAATGCTTAGTGAGTTTCCCAGAGCATACCACACACATTCGCATACATATATCCTGATAGCTAAAAATAAGCTATAAACATGCCACAGAAACTATGCAATACGATTCAACAAGAGTGCCATGGGCTACCCCACATGGTCTTTACCTAGGACCGCCATGGGCTACCCCACATGGTCTTACATCCAATGCCATGGGCTACCCCACATGGTCTTTACCTAGGACTGCCATGGGCTACCCCACATGGTCTTATATCCAATGTCACGGGCTCCCCCCGGGGTCTTCCATACCAACATAATATCACACAACATATCAATTCATAAATTAATAACACACACATAACATGATCACATAATGGGCCGGCCTTGGTGCCGTAGACCCATAGGTATGGTGAGAAGACTCACCTCCGTCCAATGAATACAATTACTGCCCTCCTAATAATCCGTAACCTACCAAGCTGAATAATAACAATAATATATAATCAATGACAAGACCTTAAATTACCCAAGGAAAGGCCCAACCTTCAAACTCTACCCCCAAGGCCCAATTACCCCTTTCTTGCAAATTGGACCCCAAAATCCAAGTCCAATATCCTTAATGGTCCCCTTGGCCCAATAAGGCCCAACCAATAAGTCCTTGGCCCAAACAGATGAAAAGGCCTCAATCTTACAGAGTCCAAACAAGCTCATCAGCCAAATGAGGACCAAAGGCCCAAAGGCCCAAAACAGATTAGGGCCCATCTGAGCTGCGTACGCCCAGCGTACCTCCCTGGTACGAGCAGCGTACTGAGGGTCTAGTGACTACGCGCTGCGTACAGACAGTTACGCCCAGCGTACAATCGTATTAAGCACTTTTCCCATTAAGTGCTTAATGCTCGAATCTCTCACGTCCAAAAGCTAGATCTAAGATTGAAAAGATGTCCCAAGGCATAAAGTTGGCAACTTTATGCCCTTGCATGTCTCATACACTCCCAACCACCCAATTAAGACCTTTTTAAGGTCTTTTACCCAAGCATGAGGTCACAACTCTCATCAAGCTTCCATTTTTATACTTCTAAATGACCAGGGGACCTCAGATCTGACTTTCATATCAAAAGGGAAGGCTTAACTCAACAAAAGAGGTCCAAAGTTCATAAAAGGGACAAACCACCAAAACCCTAGCTAGATCTAAAGATTAGAAAGGAAAGATGCAAGCTTTTTACCTCCAGAAGCTTTGCAAGATGCTTTTGGTGCAGGATCTTGAAGCACCCTCTTGATCCAAGCTTGCTTGACCACCCCTTCTTCTTGAAATACACACAAAAAGGCCACAAATGCACTCTTTAAGGCCTAAGAATGATCTCACAAGGTTCCCAGGAGTATATGGACGTTCCCAGGAGTATATGGACGTTCTAGGGCTGTGGAGGCTCTCTAGGGTTTAGTCCAAGGGACTTAAAGTTGTTTAAATAGGCCTCAAGTCCGGAAAAAATTAGGGTTTGCGTCCCTGGCGCGTACGCCCCGCGTAACTCAAGGTACGCCTGGCGTACCCTGAATTCCCCGCGACCATTTTTATGCGGTACGCTAAGCGTATACTTAAGTACGCCCAACGTACTTAAGGGACTAATTATGCAAACTTATCATTTCTTAGGGTTTCAGGACATACCAGAATTTTGGATGTTACATAGGATATGTAAACGATTTCACAAAAACAGACAAGAGAGGATATATACAGACAGTAAGATAGTAGCCACGCTTATATGCTACCTAATTTGCTTGAAAAGGTACATTGTGCGACTTTCCAAGCTAGATATCATTGAATACCGGCGACTGGTCTAGCACATTGATGTCATTGTTTGCACCAACTAGACTAAAGAATGCATGTCATATCCAAAGATCATGTGATGCAATAGCCTCTAGAACGATCGTCTGCTCTTTGTGGTCGCCTCTCATGTACTGACCACGTCATGCGTTGGGGCATAATGACCAACTCCAATGCATGCAATCGATACTACCAAGCATTCCAGGGAATCCATGCTTGCCTTCATGCACCGTGTACAATTGGTGGATATCGTTGATAGTTGGTTTGCGCAAATATCGTTGCCTGTAAACCAAACAGATCGTTTTGCAGAACTTGTACACACACTCCCGCACGGTACGCTCTGACATCCTAAAATACTCGTCCCATTTGTCTGCGCCCATGTCATATGCTAACTGACGAATTGCAGCCGTGCATTTTTGAATGGGAGAGAAACCTTTTATCCGCCTCGCATCCATTTTCCATTGGAAATATGGAAAGCGATCTTCCAAATCACCAACAATACGTAAGAATAGTTCCTTCCTCATCCGGAATCGACGTCGAAACTTTACAGCGTAGATGGCGTCATCTGCAAAGTAATCTTCTATAAGACGATCGTTTCCGACTTCGTAATTTCTACGCAACCACGACTTTCTTGGTTTAGATCGTGCACGTGATGTTTCGCCTAGTCGGTTTTGATAGTATGTAACCGTTTTCGCCATGACGGAACCGATAAACTTAGCATCCTCTAGAGCCGTCGAATCGGATGATGAAGATGATGACATTTTGATTAATATTTTTTAGGAGAGAATTATAAGGTATGGATTAGAAAAATGGTTGGATGTTGTGGTATTTATAGTTTAATAAAAGGAATATATATATATATATATATATATATATATATATATATATATATATATATATATATATATATATATAGCCGTTTGAAGCAAAAAAAGAAAAATAAATAAACGGACAAATAGGATGAAGAGTGAGAATGCGGCATCCCCACCCCCACCCCTTTCCCGCGCGTCTCTTCCCACAGTGACGGGGCGGTGTTCACGCATGCGGGACGCATCCTGCACCCCTCCCCGCTACCCATTCCGTCCGACCTTATTTTTATACATTTCTCACTAGGTGTGAGACCCGTATGTTATACGGGTTTAATAAAACAAAAAAATTAAATATAAAAGTTTAAACAAAAATTTATTTAAATTTGAAATTTTAGATTTGAAATTTAAAATTTAAAATTTGAATTTAAAAGCAAAATATTAAAAACTATATGAGTACTAATATTGTAATTTATTAGTTATTTTCAATTAAGACAATTATTAATTGAGGTGTAAATATGATGTGTTAATTAAAAAAAGATAAAAAAAAATGAGAAAATGGCAAATGGAAAAAATATTTATTCAAAAATAACAAAAAATGACATGTGTCCAAGTTAACGAGAGAGTAACATGTGACAAAATTATTTCATTTATTAGGAAGGATAATCTTATAATATTTTCCTTATATAAATAAAAACATGAAATGATAAGATATTATACCTACTCTACAAAGGAAATACAAATTTTGATACCATGATTATTCCTACAAGTAGATGTACAAGGTTTGTCAACAACCAACACCTCTGAACCTTGATTCTTTGCATCATAATTAAATGATTTTATTCAACACATCATATCTAAGTTTATCCAAATAAATTCGAGTATGTCATTACTTTAAAAAAGATTAGCCTTTTATAAAATATTTGTAAACACCGTCTTAAAAAGCTAAAATAAAATATTATATGTTACCAGGCAGTGTTTAAATCAAATAGCTGTATAAAACGTGTTGTAACTAAATAATAAGTAAATTATATTAGAATTATTTATGATGGAGTAACATAAAAAATTAACAGCTAGAATTCGTGTGGATTGGCACGTGCCAGCCAGTCATATTCATTCTCCTTCAACGTATCTCACCAGTCACCATTGTCAACTCTGTTCTTCATTACACACACAGACAAAAACAAACAAATGCATGAACCCAAATCCCTTATATAAACCACTAATCACCACCACACTCCGCCACACACTCATAATCCTTCACAAATTCACAATGCCTTGTGATCAATCAACAATGGCTTCTTCAATTCAAATCCTCTCCAAAACCACCGTCTTCCCCGCCACAAAATCCACCCTCCCGGACCTCAAACTCTCCGTCTCCGACCTCCCAATGCTCTCCTGCCACTACATTCAGAAAGGCAACCTCTTCACTCGCCCTCCGATCTCCATTCCCGACCTTCTCTTTCTTCTCAAATGCGGTCTTTCTCGTGTCCTCACCCATTTCCCTCCTCTCGCGGGCCGTCTCACCACCGACTCCCACGGCTACGTCTACATCACCTGTAACGACGCCGGCGTTAAATTCGTCCATGCCAATGCCTCTCATTTATCTATCTCTGATGTTACTTCTCCTGTTCATGTTCCTGATTGCGTCAAGGGGTTTTTCACCTTCGACAGAACGGTGAGCTACGACGGTCATTTTAAGTCCAATTTGGCTGTTCAGGTGACTGAGCTTAAAGACGGTGTTTTCATCGGGTTTTCCGTCAACCACGCCGTCGTTGATGGCACTTCGTTGTGGAATTTTATCAATACTTTCGCGGAGGTTTGCAGAGGAGTAAAACTTGTCTCGAAACCCCCGTCATTCGTCCGTGACTCCGCCTTGATCTCGTCTGCATGTCTGAAACTCCCCGCCGGTGGTCCAAAAGTGACGTTTGACGAACACGCGCCGCTGAGTGAGAGGATTTTTAGTTTCAGCAGGGAGTCAATTTTGAAATTGAAAAGCAGGACGAATAATCGGAAAAGGTTGAATTTTTATGGTGATTGTGAAATTAACGTCAAGCAAATTAAAATCTCCGACGAGAGAGTAACAGCATTATTTGGTAAATTGTTACGAAACGCTGTCGTTTTGAAGGAGGAAACGGTAGCGGAGCCGGAGATATCTTCCTTCCAATCGCTATGCGCATTGCTATGGCGGGCAGTGACACGTGCACGGAAATTCCCGAATTCCAAAACGACAACGTTCCGAATGGCGGTGAACTGCCGCCACAGACTGAAGCCGGAACTGGAATCGTTTTACTTCGGGAATGCAATTCAGAGCATTCCGACATACGCCACCGCCGGCGACGTATTATCGCATGATCTGAAATGGTGCGCCGAGCAGCTGAACAAAAACGTGTTGTCCCACGACGACACGATGGTCTGTCGTTTTGTGAAGAACTGGGAGAGCGACCCGCGGTGTTTTCCGTTGGGGAACTTCGACGGAGCAATGCTGACGATGGGGAGTTCGCCGAGGTTTCCGATGTTCGATAACGATTTTGGGTGGGGGAAGCCGGTGGCAGTTCGGAGCGGGAGAGCTAATAAATTTGACGGTAAAATTTCAGCGTTTCCGGGGAGGGAAGGCGGTGGTAGCGTTGACCTTGAGGTGGTGCTATCGCCAGAAACAATGGCGGGTATTGAATCAGACCCCGAGTTCATGCAATATGTTTCTGGTAGTTGTTGATAAATTTGTCAGTATGTGAAGTACTGTTGTTGTACTTTTGTAATTTAGTAAGTTCTAGTTGTGGAAATCCTAAATTTTAAATTAATTTTTAGCTTCCTTTTTGTATTTCCGTACTATTCAAGATTTTACCAATTTAAATTTGTAAGATTATATAACAAGTTGCATAAAAGTATAGAAAAATCAACGTTAATTATTATAAAAAGTTGAAAAATGATAGCAACCCAAAAAAAAAATCTGAAATATCTCGTCCTATAAACGATAAAAAAGTCCGATGATTATTGTTAGATGATGTTGTTTTATTTTTGGCTTCTAGTATATGAGTGACGTACTATTTTTGGACCGAGTGTTTGCCATGTTTTATTTTAAATTATAAGCAAATATTCAACAAATTTGGGCGAACGATAATCAACCACGGAGTCTCACATCCTAACCACACATTACATTCCGACCACATAACATAAATTCATAAAGGAGCTTTTCAACATAAGAAGTACAAGTAACTTTTTGAATACCAATATTTGGATTTTGGTAACCTCCACATGTTTGTTTTTGGTAGGGTTAATGTCATTAAGACCCAACCGATTTGTCGGTTTTTATTTTAAAAGGTTTCTATGTTATTTTTTTTAGTCCCGATACCTAAACTTGCAAATTACCTACTAGAAAAAGAAAGAAACCCAATTTTACTTGGTTCCATCGATTGTGAAACATCCCAAAAATACCAGCCAAAAATTTCGTTTGAAAAACATTATCAAAACTATAATCATCCATAATCAATAAAAAAATTGTGTATCATATATCTCAAAATCTCATATCAAATATTGTATCAAAACCAAATGAGAAAATATCAGAGTCTCAATCAATCGCAGGCTGAAAGCTGTGGTGTGTGTTATGTGATCATCCTGAGCCCTTCCATTTGCTAGTAGAAGTACCTGAAACCAAAACTGAAAACTGTAAGCACGAAGCTTAGTAAGCTCCCCCTAAACTATCACATACATACATTAACACATATAACACATACTGGGCCTTGCCCACTGCATCGGGCCCCGCCCGGCATCGGACCGAAGTCCGGAATAACTTGGGCCCCGCCCACTGCATCGGGCCCCGTCCGGCATAGGACCGAAGTCCGGTATAAACTAAGCATAACATAAACATATAACATGATCACATATATTGCTTCGGGCTTGCCCGACATCGGACCGAAGTCCGGAACATATAACACATAACATAAACATGCATGAATCACAAAGACATCAAGCATACATAACTACTTCTCGGGACCACCACGACATCGGACCGAAGTCCGGAAACATATAAACTGCATCGGGCTAACCTCGGCATCGGGCTTACCCTGACATACTGCAACTACATAAACGGGCCGGTATTGGTGCCTTAGACCCGTTCCTACTGGAGGAAAACTCACCTCACATTGCTGAAGTCCTGCTGACAAAACTCTAGCTGTTGGATGACAGAATTCCCGAATCTGTCAACATCAAAATAACACCCAATTAATAATTGGGTTCCATCACATATACCCATAAGTCTATGCTTGGGGTAAAAGACTGCTTTACTCCTATCTTAGCTTGATTCAAGCCCAAGGCCCAATCCAATGGCCCAAAAGTCTAATAATGAACCAAGGCCCAACCACGGCCCATCTATGACCCAATTTTCCAAATTGGGCCCAAACTCCTTACATGAGCCTTACCCTTAAGCACATTAAATTATTCTAGTCCATATGATTGTTCTTGAATGGCCCATTATTGGCCTAGTCACCAAAGCCCAATATAAAGGCCCAACTTAAGGCCCAAGTGAAACTAGGGTTTCACATAAAATGACAATTAGGGTTAAGTGTTTCTCACTTAACCCATTAAGGACTTAATCCATTAGGTCCACTAATCTACTAGATACATTATATGGTGTAATCGGGCTTAATACATAGTCCAATTCCAATGGCCCAAATGTGGATCCCAATAAGTCCAAGGCCCATAGTCCAATATTAGGGTTTTCTAAACCCTAATTAGGGTTTCCCATCCAATCATGGCCCAATAGGCCCAAAACTGGGATCTTTAAGCCCATTAGGGTTTCATTTGGTCAATTAGGGTTTTGCTAGTGGGGCACCACCTACTACCACCTCGGGCAGTGGTGGTCAATGGCGGCTCACGGCGGCGGCCACCACCTCACGGTGGTGGTTTGGTTCTTTTCATTATTCTTTTTGCTAATTACAATTACAATGCTTTAATCCAAACTAAACACACACACACACTAACTAACATAAACACACACACACACACAACCACCCTAGTGGTGGCCGACAGTGGCACGTGGCGGAAGCCACCACCTCACGGTGGTGGTGGCGGCTGATCTTGATTTTCCGGCTAGACAAAAACACTCTAACAAAAGAAATACAGCCACACACACACACTACAATAAACATACACTACACCCTTTGCCCATAATAGCAACACAGCCACCCACCTATGGCGTTGGCGGCGGCAGAACCCCCAGAGAGGCGGCAGCAGCGGCACATCGTGTCCCTCCACACGCCCACAACCCCGATGTCCAGAAACAGCCCTCACCTTCAACGGAGTGAGCGCACGTTGGTCCTCAGCTTTGACGTTGGCGGTGGAGTGGCGGTATCCGGGGATCGAAGAAACGGAGGTGGCGACGGCACCCTTGATGAAACAGTCGCATGACGGCGGTTACAACGCCGAGACCCAACCGCAGCCCTTCGATCAGTCCTTCCCAAAAGCAGTGTCGGTCTCAGCATGTCTCGGGTTCGTCGGCACTTGTTGGGGGAACATATCCGGTGGCTCACGACTTCGACTGGTCTACGAGAGTGGCGCTGTTCGCCGGTTCTGGCGAGGCTAGGAGGTGGCGACGCCGGAAATAAAAGATGGGGAGGTGAGGATGGCGGCTGGAAGATGGGAGGCATAAGAGTGGCGGCCAAAGAAGAGATTAGGGTTAGGGTAACATGGGGGCATCGGACCTTAAATCCCGTTTCCATGCAAACTTATAGCGAAAATGGCAGAACTGGTCCCTCCCATTCCAATCTCTTCAAACAAAGTCCAATATTTACCATTTAAACCCTGATTCCTTAAAATCCTTTCAACTTTGATCCAATATTTTACCAAATGGCCCCTCCTTGACAAATTTAATTTCAACTTAGGTACATAATTTACTCTTTAGTCCCTACTTCCATAAATCCTTTCATATTAAGTCCAAAATTACACTTTAACCCCTGGAGATTCAAGTCTTGTCATTTGGCTTCCCGAAACCAACTCCCAGCTAATTATTACTTAATTATCTTATTTTAAACGGGATGTTACAGATTGCTACTTAATGGAGGTAGACATGTAAGCATTGACATGACAACTTGAAGGCATGTAATGTCATGGCGAACGAAAAACATTAGAAGCTTATTTAATAACTCTCCAAAATCCTAAATTGAACCATATTCTCTAATATGATTATCCTAGAGCATACACTCCTTCGATCATAACCCAAATCGGAACATCCAACATGTATTCGTCCTCACAATACTCTAACAATAGCAACTAAAACACCTCTAACATTGTCCTTCCTCTGTATGATTGTCTTTTCCAAGCAAAAGAGAGGGCTTCACAACTACCCTAATGCCATGGTAAGTAGCTACAAGTGTATCGATGTTTCAATCTCAGTAAAAGTTGGTTCTACCCTAAAGTTTTGATTTTGAACGCATATAGAGGGAGATTGACTCTCTAATTGAAAATAACTACTTTTGGTAAACAGTGTTTGGATTGAAATGAGCTTTGAACAAAAAGGAAGTCTAGAATGGATTATTGAGCTAAAGTTCGAGAAATAGAGTTGCAAATGGTGGAGAATAAAGTGGTGTTTGAAGCGAAGTTTGTCCCATGAGTGATGACATAGTTGTACTAAAAATAAAATGCACCCCCGTAAACTATGGGATTCTTCCTTATATCCTTGATAAGAATTGATTTCCATTCTCCACATCATCACAACTTCTCCCAAATTCCATTATCAAAAAAACCTCTAACTTTATTTATATATTTATTGAAAATTAAATTGGTCAAGTTGGGTTAATGACTTTGATTGATAGACAGTAATATGGTTAAATAGTGAATGCTATGTGATATACTATGCAACGTTTCAATGTTCTTTCAATACTTAAAGTTAAGTTGCAATGACACATCATTTTTTAGTGGGCCACAATCTCCAAAATCTTTTTGTGATAATCTTATTATGTAGTTTAACTTATATTAATTTGTTTTTATATGTGTATATATTTATATATTATAAATTATTAAAATTATATTTTGTTACTATATTTAAATATCTTATATATTATAAAACAAAATAATAGAAATTAAATAATATTAATTTGACATGCTTTAAAATGTAGACATCTATATTAATACAAAAATAAATAATATATATATATATATATATATATATATATATATATATATATATATAGTACAAACAATTGATATAATATATAAATATAATTACATCTATGTTTGATATATATATATATATATATATATATATATATATATATATATATATATATATATATATATATATATATAGGGGAGGGTTCATGCGAAAATGCAAATGATTTGCGAAAACGCGAAAACAAGAAAAACCTATGATATTGTGTCACATCTACATTATATTTTGGAAAATAACTCATCCAAACTTTGAAATACATGATGATAATCGATGATAGATGACAAATTGTTTCATATTAGCAAAGTATGATTTTTAACATTTTTATTATGAAAACATGAATTTAAAAATGATTAAGGACGTGAATTTTTTTTTATTAAAACCGTCTTTAAATCTTTATTACCATAAAACCATCCAATGTAAACTTACTATCTTTAATTTATTGCTAATAAATTTATTTTTTTTATAGTACATGTGTTTGATTTTTATAAGATAAAATTTGTTTTCTCGTTTTCACAAGATATTTATGTTTTCGCATGAACCTACTTTTATAT